TAAAGTGATTGGATCGAGTTTATATGTAGACATTTGAGATGGAGAATCTGCAGGAAATGAAATGATAAGAGGTTAGAAGAGAAAGAGAGTGGATGAAGAACGGGTACGAAGAAGAGAGTTCACTTTATAAAGTCGATCGACTTGCATCTTAAAGTAGCAATAGAGAGCAGGGCATTTCGAGGTCGTATGGCTACAGAATAGCACAAATTCTTTAACGCTCTTTCCTTGTTCTTTATTTCAATTTCATTCTTTTTTTTTTTTCATCCTCTTGTCTTTCACCTTGACGTTTAATTCACTCGTTCTAACTTCTTCCCACGTTTCATTTTAAATGATATCCTTGATACTCATATTCTGAGTTCGAAGGTTTTCGTTACGGTTCGATCCTTGCAAACGTGAAGTAATAAATTTAATTACCACTAATTAAATAGTTACTTATGATATTTAATTAAATTTCAAATTCTTATGCTTTTGTTTTTATTTATAAATTTCATATAAAGACATAATATTTAAATATTGTTCATTAATATTCTATTTATTGATTTTATAATGCTACTACTGATATGTCAATTTGTTTTTTTGCCAAAAATCGTCAAGATTTTTTTACAAAACACCAATTAATGTTTATTAAAATTTTTTAAAAAATGATTATACATACAATAAATACATTTGCTTGATTTATCAATATTTCTTACACTCGTATTATTTTAAAAGTTAAAAAAATATTTTTGCAGTACCATTCTGTAAGAAAATATTATCAAATGGAAAATTAATAATAATAATAAAATACCTATAATCATTACATGTCAAAGACATTTTTGAAAACATTGCACTTTACTGCGACCTTTAATAATGTACTTAACGAATCAGAATGTTTTTCTCTTATGTACATCTTAATGGTAACAATGTAGAAACAATAACGATAATTAATTGACTTCATCAATAAATTTAATTTTCTACAGAAAATAATCAATTGATTGATATCAAAAATATCTCTTTAATTCAATTAGAGTAATTATAATGAAGTAAACAAAAAATAAGTAATAAAAGAATTTATCAAAATTCTGTTTATTCTAAATTTAAGAATTATGGTATAAATGTTATCGAAATTTTCGAGCGTTGAGTGATTATGCTAACTGATTAGTATCTTAAATGATATGTAATTACTAGGAGGAGGAGGAGGAGGAGGAGGTATAAGTGCATAAATGTAATATTTAAATATAAAAATACGTAGAATACACTTTGATACAAGTATGTAGAAATGTTTGCAGCAGGTTCAGTGACATCATACACGCATGTGCGTGACGTTCACTGCGCACCGTTATACCCATACCTAGCCAAAGTGCCTACTACGGAAGTGTATTGTGCTCGTCGGCACGAGCATACAGAAGTCGATTCGATGCATCGATAATTTTCCATAGTTGCCGAGAGTAAACACGTAGACTATCGATTGTTCTCGAATTTCTATACAATAGTCTTTTTCTTGTTATCATGATCACGATTCATTTTGTGTATTCTTTATCTTTCTCCGATCGATGCAGCATAATTTTTAATCGAGTCTCTAAAACATTTTTCAAGTATACATGACGATGACCAACAAAGTTATTAATAAATTGTATTGAAACATCTCATGATGTTCATTAATTCTGGTGGTCACCATAAAAAACAATATAAGTTAAAATTCTAAAAACCTGTTAATTTTATAAATGAAAAAGATTGTTGTTCTGAGAAATTATTTTGGGAAACTTTTCAAATAAAAGACACCCTTAGAATACATAATAATGAAAGGCAAATTTTACATTATACAGTCGATACAAAAGAAGCAGATAAATATCGATAGTTTTTTTCTTCTAACGACCAAAATTTCAATACATGGTTATGTTGACACGAAAGAAGATAAATAAAAAAGTACATATCCCACGATGTATGACAGAAAATTGAAAGAATATATATTCTGTCTTTGTTCTTTTCTTTTTGATATGATGTTGCATATAAATGCACCTATACTGCATTAGGTGAATATCCGAATTCAAGGTAAACATCACGTACTACAAACATTTACTTCAACAACCTACACTGACAATAATCATAAAATCATGAAAATAAATAATGGTCTGATAATAATATTAACTCAAACTATTAGTCTACAGTTTATGTACACATGTATAGACGACAAGGACTTTGACAAAAAGTTTTAAATGACAGTTCATAAAACAATTTTCTTCAAGTTTAGTTAGAGAAGAATTATCAATGTGAAGACGGGTTAAAACTCTACTTGTGAACCCTAGAATAAAATTAAGATTCAATACAAAAGATATTTTATTATTTTACGATTATTTTGGCAATAAAAGGCTTAAAAATACTTGAAAACGTTGGCCTTGGTAATTGGGGAGAATTAAAAAAATGTTCAGGCTGGGTCACACTTTGAAGGAAAGGGGTTGTGTTAAAAAAGGATTTGAAAGAATTTCCCCACCGCAACATGTTGAAGCTTAAGACCAGGTCCTGAAAGAAATGCAGGTATTTTTTAAATGAAAAAAAAATAAAACAATATTGTATAGTTTGTGTAAAATATTGAATTTCAATTCGACAGAAAGAGAAGGAAAAACAACTGCTCTAATTTTATTTTATTATGTATCAAATAACTGCTTAATCAATTTTTCACTAATAAAAATTTTAATGAATGAATTAGTACTAATATAATGAAAGTGTCTGTAACCAAGCGGAAGAAATTGAATGCTCAATGTTTCCCGTGAAGTATTAAGACAGTTCAGTGTCCCATTCAAGGACCTTCCCTCCTGATACCAATCGTGGCGACGATATCATCGGCCTATGACACCTAGCGATCCTTCGCCGTTATAGGAAGCCAACGTCCGGTCGTACGTGGTTGAATTGCAAAGGAAGGACATAGATGTTATATGTATCACTAGAAATAAAAGAATCAAATAAAAAATATGAATAAAAAAAACTAACGAGAAAAATGAAGACTGTTGTGGGCTGACATAAGCAGGTGTTTGATTGCGAATTATATACACCAACTCATTCTACTCCGACTATATGTAGATTGTGTATACTTGGAAGTATATAAAATGACAATTCTTCAGAAAGAATATAGCAGACCTGGTCAGGGATTATTTTTATTATTAAAAAGGCGTATATGCAATGGATATAATTAAAGAATCAGCATTTTTATAAAATGCAAAATTAGTTAAATTTAATATATAAAATAAAGAAAGAGAAGTTTCTAGATGTGAGTGTTTAATAAAATTTATGGTTCTAAAGAATAAATAATTGAAAATAATGGGCTGATAATGAAGAATTAAAATAAATCTTTCACTTTTCTTGAAACAATTAATAAGCGATTAATGTTAATGTAGTTAACTCAATTACAACGCAGTAGTTAGTAGAGATGCGTGGGACACGCACGAAGAACGAGTGAAAGGATCACGATGTCATGTATATATCCACGCGCGAGAAAATAAAGGCTCAAGATGTTCAATAAAAGAAAGAGATCGAATAAGCGAGTGGTCGTTTAGCGATATTGAAGCAAGTATGTTAGAGAGAGTAAGCACGAAAAAATAAGTGAACAAAGCGTGCAAGAAAGAAAAAAGAAGAAGCGAGAGAGCGCACTGGCCTTGGCCGCTGCTGTAGAGTAATTCAGTCAAGGTTTCGGCCGATGAACTTGATCGTTGTAGGAAGGAGGGCCTGTCGTAGTGGGGATGGCTTGCTACCAATAAAAACCAACTGTGAGCTCAGAATGAAAATTTTCATTGGTCGAAAGCTCCTCGACAGTGTTGTATCGGGCCCCGCGCTTGTCAGTGACCTCCAGCATTGAAAATACGATGAACTCTGTGGCTCTTGAAGCGGGCTATGTCCCTCTACTTATATACTATACTAGTAGTTGAGGCGTAGACACAGACCAAGTGTAGTACCAGACTGAGCGCACTACCAGGTTTGCTTACCCTCCCCACCACAAAGACGATCTCGAGCGTGAGTAAGGGTGCACAGACCAGGTAACCAACACTCGCCGGCATCAAACTCCAGTCAGACCAACGCGAACCTCCCTCGAGCGAAGATACTTTCACTCTCGCTCTTGGACTTTACAACGCGATTTATAATAACACTTTGATTTCAAATCCTCATATTACTCCCAAATACTCTGTCGAGTATTAAGTGATGATTTATTGTTGGATATAAATCTTGATACTTGGTGTGTATAAATATATTAGTGCTGTGAAAGGTGAACTATTTACGATAATACAATCGTAATGTGTGCTGACGATTAGTGTATAGTGTTGTGTTGATTGCTTCAACACAAAATTACCTTTTTTTTTGTGAATGACGTTATTTATTCAAAATTTCATGATTCCTAAACTGCTTGCTGACCAACGAGTCGAGAGTTCGATCGATCACTCGTTTCAACCTTGGTCATACGAGAAGATGATTTTATCACCAGACAGTAGTATCCAGCAGGGAAGCTTGGCACCAGAATCACCGATATCTAGTGCATCAACACACTCACGACCATCTAGTGTTGTAATGTCAAGTCCTTATCACGTTGCCCAAGTCCCGCATGTCGTTCCAAACATGCCGACTATGGATTCAACTGTTTCATCTGCAAGACCTGAACCTGAATTAAATATAGGTACAGTCGTCAATTATCATATTGATTCATCAATTGCAATGTCAGTATTTATCATGATAATAAAATTCGCTATTATTTATCGAGTATGAGTTTTATTTAACGAAGAGAAATAAATAAATTCGCTACTGTTTAAAGCGTGAAGTAAAGTTGATCAAACAGCGTGACAGAATCTGAGTGAAAGCAGAAAGTTGTAATATAACGATGCTGTAATTCTCTGCTCATAGAGAAAGTGCTTTCTTTCTCTGTCATTCCTTTCTCTTAAGCCGTTCAGTGGCCGCAGATACACGTGTAGTGGGGAAATAATACACAAATATTACCTATAAACATTGTTTAATTATTTTTGTCTTTTTTTTTGTTGTAGAATTTGATGGGACGACAGTTTTATGTCGAGTTTGTGGTGATAAAGCATCTGGATTCCACTATGGTGTTCATTCTTGTGAGGGATGCAAGGTAAGGATAAAAATAGTATTAACAAAAATAAGAAGAAATTACAGTCGGGCATTGACTTGAAGATATAATTGAACAACCTATTTGGCTCTCGAAACCAAACAGTCATATTTTTTTTTCTCGCGAAAGTGCACAACCGGCTTATATCTAACTCGTCCTGGTGAAAGCATTCGATTTGTACACTCTTTTTTACAATTGTCTCGTTTGCAACAGTGACTGGACCAGTTTCTCGATAGCGAAAGGAGGTTGTTCTTATAAGTAGTATTTTCTTTTGAATATTAAAACCATTGATTTTGCATTAATGTTTTCTCGTAAAGGGATTATTCAAGCAAATAAATTCACTACTTTCTCTCTCTTTTTTTTTCAAACACTCAATGCTATATTTAAACTTGTTTAATCAATTTCTCCAAGTATTTATAATTGAAAAAGACTAAATAATAATTATAAAAAAAATGCATAATCAATGACATTAAAAAGCAATATAAATGAGAGAATAAATGAATGTATAAGAATGTCAGACACTCGAGGTTAATAAAAATAAAGTTGTCGACCTGCACAAGAACCTTGTCAGTGTGTTTCTAAATGACCAAGGTCTTTAGAGCATCATTAATGTATAAATATACGCGCTTAAAAGTCTTAAGAATCCGGTAGTGACCCTAAAAAAAAATTTCACGTAAGATCCCAAATTTAAAACCTTGAAATAAACTATTTTGACATTTGAATTAAGCTCTAGTTCCGGTACAAAAAATCATTACTATTGAAATTTTATTCATGCAAGAGGGTAAAATCGTTCTTGGGGACAATAAAAAGTTGTCCACGAAACCAGAGACGTCCGCGTGACCCATCTATAAGACTGATGGCCTCGATGGCCAACCTCCAAAGAGACAGGAAATTTGCGGTGGCCCAGAGACTCAGTGAGAGTACACGAATGCTAGGAAAACGTGGCCTCGAATCACAATAGAACTCCATGAGTCCTATTAACTCATGAGGGTTGCGCAAAAGAAGCGGAAAATGTAGCAAAATTTTTTTTTTCCTTTCTGCATAGTTTCTTTTTTACTCGTAGTCTCTTTTTTTTCTAGTGAATAGGATTTTGAGAAGGGTCTTCAGGTATATTTCGTTCTTCTTTAAACATAGATCATCTCACTGATTTTCCTAGTTGGATGGATTTCTCGTTTTCTCATGCACCAAATTTACATGAATTTTTTACACACATTATCATCAGTTCAATTATTTTATCAATCTAAATATATTTAAAAGGAAATTCAATGTCATTATTTCGTGTGAATCTCTTTATTATCGACAATAAATCATTTTTCATCTATTCGTATTTCTTTTCTTTGCTTTAATAATTAATGTTGCGATTACTTTTGCTCAGTTCGTAATTATGAGAGATCTCGAAGGCCGTAGTGTCAACGTCCTCGTGGTCTTGGCGAAGACAAGAAATGGAGGGAGAAATGAAGAGAAAGACAAGAACTGATGATATTCTCCCACTCTTTCTACAATATTTCCCCTTCTTTCAACGGTCTCTTGATACATTGACCAGTCCACCTGAGTATTGTACACATCAGATTGACATCTGGAGATACATAGCGACAGTCTTATGTTTATCTGGTGTTTCAAATGTTTTTCTAAAAAAATCAATTCTCATTTTTAAAATTTAAAGAAAAAAAAATAACATTTGAATTGATAATTATTTTTCTATTTTTTTTATTTATGAATATGCTGTGAACTTTTATGCTAAAATATCAACCAAAAGATGTTCACTTTTCAACAAAACGTTCTATTGTCTGGTGACCTCCTTGACCAGAAAAATGATCGAAGAAATTGAAAAGTCTTTTCACAGCAGGAAATAGTGATGGAACCGGGAGAGGTAGGAACATGGAAAGAAAAGGGATCCCGCGAAATGATTTCACCGGCCACAAAAAGAAAAACGAGATCCTTAGATATCGGAATCCTAACTCAGGTAAAGCAGGTATAGATTTTGTCTATGAAAAGGAAAAGAAAAAGCACATTTTTGGGGTCGAAATTAAACGTTTGAAACACCAGATGACATTTTTGTTTTATTTACTGAGGGGTTTGGTTAATGTGACGGTTTAAATTGATGGCCAAGTAGGTAGAAAAAATGTTGTTGCATTCATATTGACTAGGTCAGTAACTTATGGCCGGCGCCCGTAAGCTTAAGTCTCAAGTGACCTAGCCGCTAGCGGTGTTGAAGTCGCTTTATGGTGCGAAGAGCTGGAAGACGCAACCAAGCAGCCGTGGAAAGGGAAGAGAACGCGGAAGAGTATTGGGTATACATCTTTGAGACTAGGTCGCTCGGTCGTACTACTGTTGGACTAGAGTATATTTCGATCATCATTCGCGTGTAAATTTATTTTTTTCCAACATTAAATATCCATCATCAAGGAGAATGTATTTTTTCAAGATCTCCAAGCTTTTCTATGCTTTTTTTCAAGTCTCTTAGTCTCTGTAATAAATAAAATAAATAATAAATTGAAAGTCAATTTGACTTTATCTATAACTTAATAAAGAGTTTTAAAATAACGAATAAATAATAAAACATTGAATTTTGGTGTAATTTCGTATTTGATTTAAAAGTAAATTTATTAAAAGATATTATCCAAATATAGTTTGAGTGTAGAATAAGATCGATATTATAAAACAGGGATGTCTATATAAATATACAATTGTGCTTGAAAGGCAGACTTTTTCCGGAGGGTTGAAATCAGGCAAGAGGGTGCATTAACCCTCCGGTCGTCGACCTCACGAACTGGATACGTCACCCCTCTTCTATACCAACTCCCTTCAACGTTCCCACTAGTGTACGCCATCACTTTTGATGTCGTAACAAGTCGTGATCTCATTTTCATTTGATTGCGCACGCGGGTATTTTGGTGCAGCAGGGGTCACTAACCCCTCATACAATCAGGTCATCTATTTATTATTAAAATTATTATCATCGTCATCATCATTTTGTTCAATAGATGGATATTTCATTTAAGGACTTCTTTCATCAAAGTACCCTATCAGATAGCACCATGATGCATTGCTGAATAATTTTGGATTTATTAACAGTATGTCAGAGTAATTAAAAAATCAACTTCACTCAAGATCTATACTTAGCCAGGTATTTATATGAGGTGTGCAGGAGGAAAGTGGAGATTCACAAAGAATTTGCATAGCTCAGACCGCTCCAAATAAAGCAATCAGGATAGAGAGAAGTAATAGCGAATTGGAAGAGATCTGGGTACGAAATTCTTGTGGGCCGGAGTGCGCGGTTAATGCCCTCAAGGCGCAGAAGTACAGCGATGCACATTTATTTGCGCATGCGCATGTCTTACGTACGTCACCGTTACTCTGTTTCGCGGGTTCTCCACCTCCCGCTCCTCCGCCCTTCAACTCGCTCATTCCCCTCTCGATGCCATTCCCTCCTGTTCTGCAACCCCTTCCACATGGCCCCAGTGGCGGTCGCACGCGGCTCCGGTCATTGGCCTCAACGGCTCCTCTAAGCGAATCCCATACTCTGTGCAATCTTTTCTGTCTTGTCATAACCAATCTTTACCTCTGCTGTACACTTCTCATCTTCTACTTGTTTCCACTCACTCTGATATCTTTCTTCTTGTCCATATCTATTTAGTGATTCCAGAAAGATTTACTAAAACAAAATAGATAAAACAACAACAAAACTCTCTTGTAAGTGAATAGTTTTCTACTCGGCATTTGATGCCATTTACTTTCCAGTATTTTTCCTTCAAGTTTTACCAACTTATCGTCACGTAATCATTGAATGATTGATATGTTGAAATATTTCTATTGAGTCAACTGAATGAATAGCAATCAAGTATTTTCAAATTTTTCAAAAGACTAGATTGTTGATTGAATGTATTGATAAATATAACTTCCGGACTTCCTAATAAAACGACAGTCCTCGCATAAAAATGAAGAGAAAGAAAAAAAAACACTTGCACGAATGAAAACTGTACAGAGGTCTATGACTTGAAATACACTATGAAGGTGTTCACTCCCTGACCTGCTTACGAAATGCAACGAGAAATCGATGCACCACCCTCTCCACAACTTGATTTATCTGGGGGTTGCTGCCCTCGTCCGGGCATTTGATACGTGGCTTAACGAACGTTTACCTATTGTTTTATTATTCGAACATTAAATGTAATCCAAGATGTCATTAATCTATTTCTCTTATCAACCAATTGATCCACTAATAAACAATGAGTAATGAAGCAAATGGAATAAGTATAATCACCTGTTTTTAAATGATCCCAACATATGTGGAAGTGAATTCTGGAATAGTCTTGGAAATTCTAGTCAGTAAAGACTCCAAAGACGATGGCCAATCGGGAGCGGTCGGCGCCGTTGCAGTTCCAACGGTACTTCGCTCTCGCTCGTTGCACCAAGTTGAGGTAGGCGAGGTCGCGCGTCTGACGTCATGCTAGGAGAATCATTCGCTACTTTTACGTGCCTCGACAACGACAGCGATGACACACTACAAGTCAGGAGATTCAATATATATATACATGTGCGCACACATTTATATTTACCATCACGTCCGAAGCTTCTGTCGCGAATACGTTACATAATTTCCCCAACTTCATTCCCTCTTGCCTTGTTGCACTACTTCACTACTCACGAGTTCGTTGACCGATAGAGTCTCATACTTCCCTTCCCAGGGTTTATTCGGCCCTCCCGTCACTACAGGCATCCGGAAAATTACTAACCATTTTGACTCTCTTTTTATTGTATGTTATTTTAAATAAAATAAATAAATAAATAAATTTCGACAGAGTAGAAAAATAATAAAGTTGATGAAATTGATAGATGTCTTCTCAAAATAGTTGATGGATGAAAAATTATTTAGGTTAAATTTATTATCAAGTCTCAAAAAGAAAAAAAAAGAAATAACAATTAAAAAGACTTAAAGCATGACGGAAGATGAAAAAAAGTCACATATGTTAACATGTATTATAAATATGCGGGGATGCATGTCTGTTTATAGTTGTAACCGTGATATATTCGTGGGTGGGTTGACCGAACGATCTCGAAGCTTGAAGTGTGAGACACTACAAGAAGAGTGGTCGATGGGTTTTGAGGCGAGTAGGGGAGTGTAAAGTTTTGTGATGATGAAGAGAGAAAAAGAGAGAGATAGAGAGGGAAGAAAACCCGTTAGTAGAGCGGCGCTCATTCGCGAGGCGATGGTGAGAGCGAGATCGTGCTACGGGGGGGTTGTAAGCGCACGAGCGAGACCTAAACGCGCAGGGGACTCTCACTTTCACGCGGTGAACTGCGGGTGAACGTCCGGGAATTGGGTCAGAGGGCCCCCACCCTGCTCGGTGCCAGCGGCAATGTGCCGAGGTTCTATGCTCTCTGTACTAGAGACACCAGTCGACACTCAAACTTCGATACAAACGGTCGTTACTTCTTACTCATTCTATTATTACTAAACTCACACTCTTCATTATTATAATTATCTCATTTAATCAACATTGTTTATTGCTTTATCCATGTTTGGTGATCAATCAGTGGTAGGCGGTTAATTAATATTGATCAAGTGTTGTGTCGTGAAACAGTTTTTGGTGATAACACAAAGAGTCTGATAAAACAAATATATATATTCAAAAATAACTGATAACGCAAAACTCGAGAAATTAGGCATACTTGTGCTGGGTTGATGACTTTATTATCGAAAAATTTTTTAGTCTTTTTTTTTGTTTATTTTATTTTGACCAATTTCCATGGGTTGCTTGTGTGAATGTGATCATTCAGCTCCTAGAGCGAGTAGCGCTTGTTTATCGGAATCATCATCCGATAGTGATAGTCAAACTGATGAAGGATTTGCTGGTGATTCACAGGGATTTTTCCGAAGGAGTATTCAACAAAAAATTCAATATCGCCCGTGCACCAAGAATCAACAGTGCAGTATTCTCAGAATCAACAGGAATCGCTGTCAATATTGTCGCTTGAAGAAATGTATTGCAGTCGGCATGAGTCGAGATGGTAAGTTTCATCATAATATTATTATTTTATTTCTATTATAATTCAATTAAACTGACAATAATCAACAAATCAACGAATGAATCATAAATAGAAAGTATGTAAATGAGTATTAACTAAACGATAAATTGTAATTTTATATAAATATGATACAGGCGATAGTTTGACAACGGATTTTATTTTGTAAAGAAATAATGTAGGTCGCATATGTTGAGACATAAAAGGGCTATTACTTCACCCAATGATGATATTACGGATACTCTAGAAATTTGGGTTGTCAGGCCATTGACCATTTACGCAATACATATTTCTCTGCGACCACGACTGTCGCAATAGGCGAAAGTGGCTACACGAGAAAGTGTATTTGTTGTAATTTTCTTATAATGTGGTATTTTTAATGATTATTGCATCAATGACCTAATAAATATATTATTTAATGCATCACGATAATCATTGACGAAAATTCGTACTGCCCGGGAATGACCTCAAGTAGATTCTGTAGCTCCGTGAGTTCAATGACCTCTCTACCAATACATACACACAAACTGTGTACACTTATATATACTTTAGTTTTATCAATAATCTACTAAATTATTTATCTATTTATCTAAACTGTTTATTAACATGAAATAAAAATTTTAATTACTATAAATACATTATTTATAATTGAAAAAAATAAGTAACATTATTTTAAATGATAAAGAAGAAAGTCGAACAATATTTAAAAATAAACTATGAATGAGAATAATTTATTATCATAAATATGTGATAATCATTAACAATTGATTTCATGTCATATATAGAACTTAGTAAATGAATAGCGGGGTTAATAGACGACCGATGTCAAAGTTGCATATAGTAGCATTAATAGAAAGAGTACCGCTACGCCAACGCTACGTTTCCCCTTCTTTCCTCCATGAATTGCCCTCTCTCTGATATTTTATATCCCCACCATAGAAACACTCAACATCTTCAACCTAGCAATGCAAGCAGTGCAATGCTATACAATACAATTTTAATCCCACTCTTATACATGAGAAGAGTGTGCGCTGTCGCGTGGCGCTACGAAACGGGCGGAGACCTCGCGAACTTTGCGTTTCAATTGCTTTCTCCCCACCACTATGACATACTCTAGATTTTACGCGTGTACTTTTACCCCACTCATACACTTTTTAGTGTTTAAAATTACCTGAAGAACCATGTGCGCTTTTTAATATTTCATTTAAATTAATACATGACGATGAAGCTTCAATTAGATAGACAGATAGATAGGAAGATTTATTGCTTAGACAGTTAAACAAAAATTATATTAAACAGCACAATAATTACAAATACAGGGTAAAAATTACAGAGAGAAAAAGAAATAATATCACAGAAGAATACAACAAATCATATCTTTTTCTGTTTCACATTTTATCATCGAAACATTATATTAACAATATTTTCAAAACGGCATCAGACAAAAAATATTTACATCGCTAATTATAATAACAATTGATAAATAAAAAGTAATAATAACAATAAAAGTTTAAATAATATATTTTGTTGAGCAGATTGTAAAAATAAATAATTAATATTAAGGGGAGAATACAATTGGAGCAGTGAATAATAGTATGAATAAAAAATAGAAATAGTAGATTTGGGGTTGAAGCAAGGTCATACAGGGGTAAGTTACCCTCTGGACATAATAAGGACGATATCTGCGTAGCAGAGGTTGTGGTATACACGCGCGCGCACCAGCTTTAATTTTCGTTCATTGCTTCATAATAAGAGCCGTATGTGTATATAGGTCGGTGGTACGCCTCATGCGGCTGCCGTTGAAACCAAGTTCAAGGCCAAAAGGCTTGGTAAAGGCCACAATCAAGTTGTAAGAGTGGGGAACGTATGGTTAAATAAGTGGGGGCGGGTTGAGGAGAGGGAAATTGTTGAACGCAAGTCGCGGAACGTCACTCAGTCGGCGGTGATGCTGTCTCGCGTTAACACGCGTTGTCTCGTCCCGTGTCGTCAAGTTAAGTGCGATAGTCTGTGCCATTTCTCGACTATTATTTGGAGTAACTCTAAGTAAACGAGTTAGCCAATATATTACTTGTCATTCTCACAACCTGTATTATATGGAATTAATCTATGTAAAAACGATTAGTGATTTATGAATGATCGATGGATTTATTACTTAGGATGAACTTAGTGAAGTGTATTTCGATTTATAATTGTGAATAATAACGTGTCAATAAAAGTATTACTTATCAAGAAATAAATTGAATATTTAACCAAATAAATATAAATTGTCATGGGAGCTGACGGTTCACCGATTCTTAAAGAGCTCCTATCAGCTCCTCCTGACGAAGTTACAGTCAATTACCGCTACATATGTTACACACGTTATTCACGTTACTTGTGTTATTCAGATGATAAATGTGAGTATTATTGTGATCAGAAATAAAGTTCATTTATACACTTTCTATTTACTGATTGTCAAATACTTTCATCGGTTGACGAGAAAGTTCCGCTCTCGCTTTCCCTTGGACTTGTTTAATTCCTGATCAAATGACTTATCGATACGTAGATGTCGTTCATCGATGAATGCTGACCTTGCTCGATAGTAGAAACCGTTGGACGCGTTTTTTTACAATTAGCTTTAAGCACTGTCACGCGATAACCGATGGCCATTGGTGAAGGCCAACCTCTTATTCCCCGCCTCAGTTCGACGCGCATGATTCATTCATTGATTGCATTAATTATTCATCAAGTGCATTGTCAGTATTATTTTTTCAAGTATTAATAAATTAAAAATATATGTTTTTTTTTTCTTTTTCAGCCGTTCGATTCGGTCGAGTACCAAAACGTGAAAAGGCAAGAATTCTCGCGGCAATGCAACAAAGCTCAAATACTCGTTCTCACGAGAAAGCAGTAGTAGCTGAATTGGAGGATGAGCAACGTCTTTTAGCTACTGTTGTACGTGCTCATCTAGATACATGTGACTTTACTAGAGACAAAATTGCTCCAGTACTCGCGAGGGCGCGAGAAACGCCTAACTACAGAGCATGTCCACCAAATTTGGTTAGTATTTTATTTTTTTTATTTTTTTTATTTCATCAGTTAGGATTTTTTTTGTTACGTTCCATTACGACATTAAACAACGAAAAGTCACATAAATACTTTGGAATCTACTCCAAAAGTTAGTCACATCATCAGTTAAAGCCTTGAAAAATGTGAAAACTGAATTAACGCGGAAATGGACCAGGCGTCCTCGAGACTTATTCGAGACGGAAGTAACTTGATGTATAAACATTGAAAGTACTGTTAATTCGAGGACGCCTGGTAAATGTTCTTCAAACATATATATTTAAAGTCATTTTGATCATTCAAAGTTTAAGTGTATAAAAATATTTCATTTATTTAATGAATATTATTTTTCTTTTGTTACAGGCATGCCCATTAAATCCTTATCCACATCCATTGACTGATCATCAAGAATTTCTAGAAGATTTTACCCAAAGATTCTCACCAGCGATACGTGGAGTCGTAGAGTTTGCTAGACGCATTCCTGGTTTTAACTTACTCGCTCAAGATGATCAAGTCACTCTCTTAAAAACGGGTGTTTTTGAAATTCTTCTAGTACGACTAGCGTGTATGTTCGATGCCCAAACTAATAGTATGATTTGTCATGATGGCCAAGTGCTCAAAAAGGATTCCATTCACAATAGTAACGCACGATTTCTCATGGATTCCATGTTTGATTTTGCCGAAAGAGTTAATTCTCTTCGATTATCAGATGCAGAACTTGGTCTTTTCTGTGCAGTAGTTGTGATTGCTGCTGATAGACCAGGTCTTCGTAATGTAGATCTCGTTGAGCGAATGCACAATAAATTACGCAATGCCCTCCAAACAGTGCTTGCTCAAAATCATCCTCAACATCCGGACATTCTTCGTGAATTGCTCAAAAAAATTCCCGATCTCAGGACATTGAATACATTGCATTCAGAGAAGCTTGTGGCTTTTAAAATGACTGAGCAACAACAACAACTTCAAGCTTTACAACAGTGGCCAATGGAAGAAGAACCTGCAGCATCATGGGGATCAGCATCTGATGTAACTCTTGATGAAGCAGTAAAAAGTCCATTGGGAAGTGTATCGAGTACTGAAAGTACTTGCAGTGGTGAAGTGGCTGCATTAACCGAGTATCATCATCCGGCACCAACAAGTGGTCATCATGCATCTAGTGCACCTCTTCTGGCAGCCACTCTAGCAGGTGGACTTTGCCCACATCGACGTCGTGCTAATTCTGGCAGCACTAGTTCCGGTGATGATGAATTACATCGTTCTACCATGTCTAAAACACCTCAACCCCCACAATGTCCGCGATTCCGAAAATTGGATTCACCTAGTGACAGTGGAATTGAATCTGGTACTGAAAAAACCGATAAACCAGCTAGCAGTAGTGCTAGTAGTGCACCAACCTCGGTATGCTCGAGTCCACGATCTGAAGACAAAGAAGTTGAAGACATGCCAGTCTTGAAACGAGTACTTCAAGCCCCACCACTTTATGATACAAATTCATTAATGGATGAAGCTTATAAGCCACATAAAAAATTTCGTGCTCTTCGACAAAAAGACAGTGCAGAAGCTGAGCCTGTGATTGTTCAACAACATACACAATCTCAACTTCATCTTCATTTAACATCTCCACCATCAAGGAGCCCGACAACAGCTCAATCTCAATGTCCGCAGACAGCTAGTCTATTAAGTAGTACTCACTCTACTCTCGCTAAAAGTCTAATGGAAGGGCCGAGAATGACTGCTGAACAACTTAAACGCACTGATATCATCCATAATTATATTATGCGTGGTGAGGCGAGTCCGAGGTCACCGGCCGCATCTCCATCACCAGCCGAACAGTGCGCTTCGACAACGACTCTAATTGCCCGTTCACCTCAAGGGTCTCAGGGTCTTCTTCAATGTGCTACCACTGGTTTCTCAAGGTGGCCGGCTACTTCTGTGATCACTACAACTACAGGTGCAAGACAACAACAACAACAGCAACAACAACAACAACAACAACAGCAACAGCAACAGCAGTCTTCCACAAATTATCTTGCTGTGGGAAATTCACCAGCATCATCACCTAGATACCTCTCAGCTGCAGCAACAAGTAGTACGAGTCCGAGACCAACATCAAGTACTGCAGCAACATTAGTACTTTCTGGATGTCCGAGTAACATGATGGAACTCCAAGTGGATATTGCTGACAGTCAACAACCGTTAAATTTATCGAAAAAGTCACCGTCCCCATCACCAAGACCACTTGTAGGACCTTGTAAAGCACTTTCTCTTGAAGCGTAGTGCTCTCTAAATTGTTATTATCGTCCGAATGACAGTCAAAAGATGAATTAACCCACCTTTAATAAAAAAACAAACAAATCATTGATTGTAATCGAGAGTGCTATAATCTCATTACAATAAATTTTTGCAGTCTTCGGTGAATGATGCCGAAATTTCTCATTAATACAATGAGAAATAAATTAAAAAGAATAAAGTGCCAGGACGCTCTGAGCGCGTGACAAACCAAATAATTTATTATTTAAAATTAATTATAATTGATAATAATTGCGCGATAGGAGGTCAATAAAGGAGATTATTGATTAAGATACACGAGAAAACAATCGTTATTGGTCAGTGACAAGGACCTCTCGCCATTTTCCCACCTATTTAATAAAAAGTTAAATAGTGCTAAAAATCCAAGGGTTTTAATAAAATAAAACAGTGTGACTATTAATGTGAGAGGTAGCGGTTTATAGCGAATTATGCAGTTGGTATAGACACTTGTCAGTGCCGGTATTTGATTTAGAAGTACTGTGTAGACTATATCTACACACCCATCTAATTGACCTATCTACCTATCTATTTACTGTTGTTATCAGTAAATCTAGTGATTAGTATACTGAAACTGCAGATGATAATTTGACATAGAAAAAAAATTGATTCAATGTTACAAAAATGAATAATCTATTACATGTGATAATCATGAATATCGCGCATCCTGTACAGTATCCATTTCATTCATCAATCATTTACTCTACTACTATTATTATATTATTATAATTATTATTATAAAATATAAGAATTAATAAATAATAAATAATATTATTATTGTAATATCTGTAAGCTATAAAATATAATCGTAAACATTTATCATTTCGTGTGTCTGTAATCTGTAGAGACGCGCGACAGCATGATAAAGAATAAAAAGATGCGTGCGTGTGTGCGTGAGTCGGGGCTATTTAACGTAATTGGCGTAAGTGAAGTTTAACAGAAAGAAAAATAAAAAATTAATTAAAGCAAAGAAAAAAAAATTGATTAAAGATTTAAGAGTTTTGTTATGAGACTGATCGGCCCAATGAGTGGCCTCCAGTTTGCAATTACCGTACCTTTATACTGTATGTTATGTATGAATAATGATGAGTGAATGATACAAAAAAAATTAATTATTTCTCTTAAATACGTCGTGTAGATGATTTAGGAAGTTAGTTTATAGTGATACAAGACACGTAATTATTCTATTATCATGTGTCATTCTGTATGTGTGTATATGCGCTAGTATGAAACGTGATTATATGGATCGACAAGAATAAATAAACATTGTAAATATTTAAATAATATCGTAAGACGTAGTTATTAGTACACATGAGTGAAAGAATAAAAATTTTGGCGATAAAATCATTACTAAAAATAAAAAAAACATAATAAACAAATTAAAATTATCAGTTGAAAAATTTTAACAAAAAATAAGCGGCGGGCCGCCGCCGATGTGTTGTTGAGACGCCCGCCCTACCCCCCTTAAAATTACCCGCCATTTATCCCTTTAGCATTTCACAAATACTTACATATATGCAATGTGCAGCACACAATCATACAACAATTAAACAATTTGTAAAGTGATAATGTAAAACAAGATTTTTTTTTCTTTATACAATAGAGCACTTTATATTGTTTTGGATTTTCTTCATGTGCTCATGTATACTAACGTATACAAAATCATTCCCAATTATACTCATTACATTAAAACTACATTGCTGAGCACTTTTTTTCAATAATTAATTATTAATTATTCAGTCAATTCAATATTTTGTTTCTTTATTATCTTCTTTACAAATAAAACTTACAAATACATACATACGCTTGAAAAAATTTTCATTTCCTTTCTTCTTATTATTAAATGCTCTAATTTATCATCAACTGATTGATTAATTAATCATCAAATTACTGAATAATTGATTAATTGGATTGAAATAAAATAAAAAATGATTAAAATTAGCATTGATATTCGTAATACTGTTATGCATTAACTACACATAATTATTATAGTAAACGATACATAAAGTATGATATATTTCTCTATCCATTAAGACGAAAATACAAAGCAGTTGTTGTTTCTGATGAACAAAAGTACTAAGCATGAATACAAAACAGCCCCGCATATTGCCCAGTGAGCACGTCATTTTGTACGCTTGGGAGTTGTGAGGTCGTCTGAATAAACATTGTCTGGTGAATTATAAATATTTCTATATTTATTTTATACCTTTTCATTAATTCCTCATTTATACATATATACATCATATATTAATTCCTTAATGAAAAACTATTCTCTTCCGATTACCTTCAACTGTCCAATCATTTATAATCACCTGAAGGTTGATAATTACTAGATTACTCTGATAATACTCTCTTTAAATTATTATCATTAATTTATTTTTTTATTACTATTTATATATCAATATTAACATTAATAATTACATTAAATATATATTAAATACTCTTTGATGATAATCAAATATTTCAATATTTGTATGCAGAAAAAGGTTTTCTTGTTTGCTCTTCATTGTGTAATTAGATCCAAGACATTGATGACAATAGTGGTTTATTAATTTCAGTCATCTTTCATTAATTACTATTAAGATAAAAATACTTCTTTCTCCAAGTAAGTATGATCATATTTTCTTATTTGTTTATTCATTTATAATAACAAATTTTATTGATTAAATCGAATAGAAAAAATTCGATAAGTATCCAATCTCGATAAAATTATTAAAATGTAGGAATTTAGTATAAGTTATAAATATTACTTATTTTTTTACTTCAAATCAAGTTTGAGTCACTAATATAATATAGAAATTTAGGAAACTAGACACGTCATATCCGCTGATACACAATCAGAAAATAATCTTGGCTTCGTTCCTGATATAATGTAGACATCAGACTCTCGATGCTGTCATAAATTGACGCAGCTTCAAACAATTTACAAAACACAATTGGCCACATGAGTGATTCAAACTTTGAGTATATCATAACTTAATCTTGATTCACCCAACAACGAGATTAAAGTCAATTAGATTTCATTTTCAACTTGTATTAATGGTAATATACTTGTTCGTGGTGATGCGTGTGTTGTTTTTTAATACGATTCTTTCAACCTACGCCAGGTCACAGCAACGTTTGCATAGATTCATATAAAAGGTGAAGAGCACGTGTCAACTCGTGGGCGTTAGTTGCCAAGCAACCTGTTCTTTCCATTGGACATTTCAGGTGAACTTTGATCTTAGCCGAGTAAGAAATTGTACTATATTTACACATTTTTATTACTTGCATTGTAAATGAAGATTACATTAAAAATAAAAAGAGTAAATACATATACATTTTGAATTTTATATTTTTAAATTAAATATAAAAAAAAAAATATAAGCTGTGACGATGATAAAATGGATTCCACAAATTGAAACTGAGATGAAATATTTGAAAATTAATTTCTATTTCGTTTAGTAACTGCGCACAAGTACAGCTATACTCTAATTTTGAAAATAATATTTGAGAAAAATACAATTTCGTAACACTATTTTTTTATTTCATTTTCCATTAACAACTGTGATATTTTAAAAAACAAAAATCGATATCTTAATGATTGCACAAAACAACATGAGTGGACATCTCATTACATTAATAAGTTAATTAATTAATATATTAAATTTTATCACTTAATAATTAGCTGACATAATTCCATTTATTGTATTAAATTACAGCAATTTAAAAATAGAAAAAAACTCTTTTTCGTTTTATTATTTTTATGAAATTAATTAATTTGTTTTGATTCGAAAATTTTTTTCGATTTTTTTGAGAAGATGAGTCGTCATTTTTTGATTAATTTATTATCAATATTATTTTTTAAATAATCAGTCAAGTTATTAAGGTAAAGATGTAGAATAAATTAATTTTAATTATGCAGTCAACTGCTATTATTAAACACTCGTGGTATAAAATTATTGTGCGGATAAAAAAGAATGTGAAAAAAATAAAAGTAGAAAGGAATTATTCGGAGAGCTTTAGTGTATAGATTTGGGTAAAAATAGTTTTATTTTTTAGTCGTCCTTGAATGGGTTTAGGCTTGGGGATTTTTGGTGTGTATTACGAATGCATGTGTGCTCCTAAAAAGCATCCAACTGATCTTTGAAGGGGAATAGAATGAAAAGAGTTCGTCCCTGGGTATCTTAAACATTCCCAGACTGGACCAGGCCAGAGCCTTCAGGACGCCCTCGCACTCCTTTTCTTCCTTATTCTTCAGTTCCTTCTATCTTAGTTATCGTTCTTCGTCGATCTTTCAGAATTACAACTTTGAAACGCGCTTCTCTCTTCTCTTCGTCTCATCGTCGCAACTCTCTCGTTCAAGGTCCAACCGAGGTCGCAGACCGACTCCCTTATTCTTTCTCCTCTAAGAAGACTTTTCTTGCGACGCAAGGCCGATCAGCAAGTCGAGAGTAATGATAATAGTATGAATGGTAATGACGACGTTAAGACACTCTGTGGTTTGTGCTGCGTTCATGTCAACAACCTTGGATATGTACTCTTCAATGGATCAACATAGTCTAGAATCTTTTCTCTTACTGCCATGGTTTTTTCTTTATCGACATCTTCACTAACCTTCACATTAAATTACACGCCTTTTTACTTCCAACTTTGAGAGCAAAGATGATAAAGGAGCTTTTCAAAAAAATTTTGAGCTGATTTATTTGGATTTGAATAAAAAAAAAAAAAATTAAAATATCACTTATTGTTTCTTTATTACATTATTTAAGTTTATTATATTATTATTTAATTTTGTTGATATATAAGTCTGGATTTTTTTTTTTAAATATAAAATTAACTGAAAAAAGGTTTTTTATTATAAAAAATTATTTACTGTAACTTAATAAATATATTTACTTAAATTAATTATTCATTTAATTAAATAAAATACACTTATTATTGAGAACTAAATATTTTGTCATTAACCCCGTCATTATTAATAATTATTCTATTAAAGTTATTTTTGATTTTTAAGTCGTAGATAAAATTTTATTTCATACTCCAATAATTAAATTAAAAAAAGTATGTACAATACTTATAAGTGTTTTTAAATGAAATCTTCAAGTTGCTCATCACGTATAGAAACTAAAATACCATCACAATCGTTCTATCAATTGAGAATCCTTTTGTATAAGTCCCCATTAATCCTCGCTAATTCCCAGACAGCAGATTCTCTCCTGCTGTTAGACTAATAGAGGTAAAACGATTGAAACGACTTTCGGTCAAGAGGTTTCGAGATGACGCCAAGGAGAAATTAAAAAAATAAAAAAAACACATACATGTCTACATATAAAAATTCATACGTACGTAATATACAAAGTGAGTAATAAAAATAAAAAACATTTGTGTAAAAATATTACATAATTAATATATAATTATCTTGTAATTCATATTTTAAGCATATTTTATCATTTAATTAATTAAATTAAAGTCGTTCAAGGTCACGTAAATTATGTATTTTATTTATTTACTTACATTAATATTATAAACAAAATTTCACCTTCATTATCAAGGATGTTTGTTTAAGGAATTAAATTTATCAAAATCACATTGATAAAATTGATTAATGTATTAAACTATTCAAGGATAATAATTGATTTTATGTTGATAGCCATATTTTTGATAGAATCAAATGTTAACAGGATTAAATAATGTAAATATTTCAATTATAATTATTAAAATATTCTAATCGCTGTATAAGATTATCTTAAAAAGTGGTCAAAATTGTTCGTTTGAGATTGGAGTATTTTTTATGAAGGAGCTGGTCACGGACAGGAAGTGAATATCTTGGAGGCCAGTCGTCTGTGGAGGTCGTGGGCCACGATCATCACTGGTGTGACAAAGAACAACTTAGGGAACAATGGCCCATAACCCAAACGCCGCCACTAGCCAAAAATATGATCTTGTCGAAGGTCGATCATTAGCATAAATAAATCTAAATGAGCTACCGTGACACTGAATAATAATCGAAAATTAATTTTTTCAAACAATTATGGGCTATCGTTTTTAATCACTAGTCTTATGTTAAAATAAAACTTGTATAATTCAATAAGTCTTTACGACATTATCTTTTTTGCGATACAATAAACGTGTTGAAATTAATTTATATGTGTTGTAGATGATGCATAGGTATTTATTTTAAATGTCATACGTATGATGTGTTAATTATTTTTTAATTAAAAAAAAACTATAGATTATAGTTTTGCAAAGTAGACTTGTTTATAATTAAAAATTTTTTTAAAATTTCCATCATTGAATTAAAGAGAATTTATGCATATATCCCAAGTATGTAATCATATTATAAAAAAAATGTGTATCTTCATCTGTATGTTGATTGATAAATGACTGAATTTGTTTTCTGCAACATTTGATTGAATTTTTATTTTAGTTTACGATTGAGATCACTGCAAATCGTAGTGGTTTGATTTAAAACACTTAAACATTTCCAAGTGCATTAAAAGTAACTACAATGTTAATCAATTGGATGATGTAATTTTAATACATTTCATTTAATAAACTCTTCGTTCATTTAAATCTTTTTTTTGACCAATTATTTCACAACATTATTAGATATCAAGTTAAAAATTGAACTATTATATTTATTATTTGTATTTAATTTTTTTTCAATAAATATTTTTTTTTTTAAAGTAAACAACTTGTTACTTATGTTAAATAATTAATAACAACCATGTATCAATAATAGGTAGCAACTATTTTAAAAGTTAACCACTTCAAAAAAAACAATATTTGTGGTTATTAAATTCTTAACATTAAACGACCAGTATAATAGTAGTTATATAATAATATAGTTCTTTTTCGAGAGAATAAGTCCTTGAATTTTTGGATTTGTGTATATGAAATAGGAAGATTTAATGGATAGAGAATTGACGCACCCTAACTTATAAACACTTTACGAAACTTCCGGGTTAGACCTTGAATCTTATTTAATCTACAAGAAAAAATAGTTGTATAAAGTTACCCCTTTAAATAGGTCTCTCCCTTCATTTTTCTCATTTCACTTCTAAATCACCCTCCTTAAGTATCTCCCTTGATACTCTTTTTACTCCACGTGGCAAGGTCATGACCTTTTATTCTCCTAATAGTTAAAGTTGACCTCGAAGCAGAGGAGTCGAGAGCGATGAGAAAGCTGTTTGCTACCCTAA